CTAACATATCCAAGGAAATGGTCTACATTGACAAAAACAAATCTCATGTTTTTATAAATTACAGTAGAGTGATTGCATTTAACAATGGAAAAAGTGTTGACCTTTTAAAAATGTGAGGATACAAAGCTAGCTTGAACTGGCAATTTCCTCCTTTGACAAATTAACACTAGAAGAGTGAGGCTAGGGAGCAGGGAGGGGAATTAAAGACGTATGCATTCCCTGAAGGACAGAACAGGCCTAATGATTCAAATGTCCCTACTGTTCCATTAGGACAGAACTGATCCTGATCATACATGATTAATGATGCACAGTTTTTCAGTCAATGTTATAACTTAGAGTAAATAAAATAAAAATCCAGAAAGCTTTAGGCACAACCAGTTGAACAGTGAGACTTTTCAAACATAAATAGGATGAAAACATGAATTCCCTAACCTTCTTGGAGTTCTTCCCTTGGCCTTTCCAGAAAGATAAGATTGCAAGGAAGTCAAGGTCTGCTTTCCCTACCTCTGGGCAACCACAGATATGAAGAATAATCCATCAAGCAGCTATTCCTAAATTTAGCCAAAGATTTGCTTATTTCACACCAGCTATCTAGCTCAGCTCTTCACAACTGCTTTAGGAGACAGATCCTGAAAGTCCACTTTCCATGACGCTAAGGTTGGACAGAACTACTTTAGAGAGCCCTAGCTGCATATTAGTGTCTCTGAATTAGTCTGCTTAAACCAGCCTGTGACTGTGGCAGGAAGATACAACAGGAATCCTTACAACAGGCATACAAACTATTCTCTTCTCTGCTGTTAAAGTTTGCAGGAGCTGAAGACGTAAGTATTGCAAAGGTCTGATTTCTGAATGATTGTAAATCTTTCTCTGCACTGTACATTGTCTTCAAATATCTTTCTGCCAAAGATATTCAGATACACGTAACCACTGCAATAACACCACCCGGGAAGAGATAAGAACTTGGTCATTACTGGAAATGAGCTGGCATGCAAGTAAAATAAATAGATTATTTCAGTTACACTGGTATGCTGGGATGGGGGGGGGGGGGGGAGGGGAGAACAACATTTAGGTTTGTTTCCATAGGAAGTCATGTCTCTGCATTCTCTCCTAACCACTGCCCTGTTTAAAATTCTTCCCTTACCTTGGGAAAAATAGTTTCCAGATTCCTGCATGTGTTAAATGAAACGTGGACTCTTCAACGTCCTTTCTTTTTAACAATAAAAAATAAGAAACTCAACATAGAAGTTTACGGAGAAGAGGCAAGATTGAAAAAACCTTCAAACAGGTCTTGTAGAAATACTGTGGAGACAGCATATTGCTCTTAAAAAGCAGAGTGTACTGAGAATTCTGTTAGATTCTCTAATCTAGTCACCTGTCTTAAGCAAGCAATCTGACTTTAAGGAATTATTTATCATGCTATATATTACAATATCCAGTGTAGTTATACTGATCAAAGCTTTAGTGTCTTCAGTTCTTCCTCAACACATTGCAGAAGCATGACTTGTCTAGACATTCTAGCATAAGGTAAGTAGCAGAGGTCTGATTAACAGCAGAGTTAGCAACGATCCGTAAATATTAGAGAAATAGACAGTGACATATGTACATGTGATAATAGTATAGAAAATGCATATTCCGTTTTGTATTGTATTTACAGAAATGTATTGTGTCTCTCAGATTACCTTTGAGGCTGCCTTAATCCCTCTGATTTCCAGACACTGTTCCACTATAGTCTAGGTTCAAAAGCAAATATGAAGCAATGCCCTCAGGAAATGTCTTCATAGAATATAAAAAAAAGGCCAGAAGAATGCTTAGCTATGCAAGAGAGGATTAACCACCTAGGAGGTTATTTTCTCTCCTTCCTCAGAAATTCCCATCAGAAGACAAAACACACTGTGGAAGAATCATTGTATCAACCGATACTTTCAAATCTAAACAAAACCAATTTACTCTGGAAGTCCCCTAATAACTGTTATGAGTCCTTACCATTGTCTACAGAGCTATCCATCAATTCTGCTGAGAGTCTGAGAGCTTGTGTGAACTCTCCTGCAAGGTCCAATAAAAGTAGGAAGCCAAGATCCTGATCCTACAGTAATATAAACTAACAGTTTTACAAATAATATGGTTACTTACATCTGCAAGTACTTTTAGGATCAGGGCTTAAGCCAGCAACAATTAATTGACACAATACTTGCAGGGTTGCACATTCCAGACAACTTAGGAAACTGCTGGATAATCTGATGAAAGCGTAAGATACCCATTGTCTAACATCTCAAGTCAAACAGTCTGGAGGATATACCTACACTAAGCCAATGTTGTCAAGTTAAAACACATACTTCTCTGTTACTGCAACCTTACGGTACTGTAATTCATAGCAATAAACGTATTAACAATCTAAGTGCTATGGGGCAAACAACAAACAGTGTAACCACCAGGGTTTGAGTGTCAAAAGCACTTTTCCTACAGTTAAAATGACAAATATGTATGTGCCTTTTGGTCATCCATGTTTGTGTTTTAGTGTTGTTAAGAGTAAGTTAACAGTTCTTAATGCATTTCCGTTTCTACTTAGTATTCATTACCAAAGTGGTTGCCATGTTTGGTTTTCTATCTGCTCCACGTCCACTTAAATAAGAAATCAAAGGAGGAGACTCTTCATGCCCCCTGTTTTGTTTGGGTTTTTTTTTGTAGGCTAAGTTTTCTAACAACAAAATTAGATTGCAAGTCTGGTCTTAGAAGTACAGGAGGATCATCTGCCTGCAGGAGCTTACAGATTCATGGTCAACTGATCAGACTGGACTCAAACACAGGAATTCTCACTCAGACAGCCCTGCCTGAGGTGCCTGCAGAAATTTATCATGGTGTATTCATTCTTACTGGTTTGAAAACTTTAAACCTTTTCCAGAACTGGCTCCTCTGTATCTCCCTCCTTTATAACTTCAAAAAAAGCTCTTTATTTTCTGAACATTTTAGCATGAAGTTTGTCATGCTTTGTGGAGAAGTTTATGGAGAGCTGAGAGATTTTAAAACAAAAAAATTACAAACAGGAAACAGCATTTAACCACTACTAAGCTGACCCAGTACTGACTCCACAGTAATGGAATATTGGCAAGGTTTATATCTTAATTGGCTCTCTTGCAACAGCAAGATGGCTCCAAAATACAGTGACAGGAAGGGAAAAAAAGCATGTGTTATGCCTAAAAGAAAAACAGTAAGTTAGTTCTACTTTTGTCTGTAGCATGAAAGAGGTGTGTGAATGAAATAAACTGCAGAGGCTACAGCTCTACGTGTCCTGTACAAATACAGCTAAAAATAAACAGAAGAGGTATATAAACATTCAGATCTGAATTTGTTTCATAACCTCTAAGACTTAGTGTCTTAGAGCAGAGTGAAAGTGGAAATTTGCTTTTCACTGTAGAAAACACACCAGTTCAATGCAACCAATTTGACACAGGAAGCTGACATCCCGTCTATGCCCCAGCAGCCAGAGTGCATACACCATCAGGAGAGGCTCTTTGGCATCCACTCAGCAACATTACTTCATTTGTAATGATAAAGTTAGACAAGGTACAAGGTCAGTTCAGCCCCACTACTGACCTGTTCTTTGCTAGCATCATCAAGACCCGAGAAGAGAGGTCTTAGGAGACAGAATGATAGGAACAGAAGCATTTATTCACCTTCTCAATTCATTCTGGATAGCAGCATCCTTAAGTTGCTACCAATTTGCACTGGCCACTTGTGGGATAAAATGTGACATATTAAACAAACACATGTCAAGTGTCCTTGCTCTCTAATGATACAAGAAGTACAGTCCATAGTTCGCACAGAGCCCACACCTGTAGATGAACAGGAACTTCAAAACTAGACAGAAGTGACAGCATGACCCGAGTAAATACAAGGGGGTGTCCAAGTTTGGAGAGGCGTGAAGATAATAACACTAAAGAAAATGCTTTCAAAAATGCATTTGTACTCTATAGTTCATCTCTAAGAAGTCTTGCCTCATCCTTTAACATATATTTATATTATCACTGGAAATGTGCTAGGGAATTACTCCTGACACTCACAACCCGCCAAAGCCACAGCTCAGCAGAAGTGGGGAACCAGTACAGTTCTTTTAACTTCTATGTCCTGAAGGAAAGCACCTATGCTTTTTTATCCCCCCTGAAGAGCCTTTCATTCTCACATGGGCAGACTCACACTGCCAAACTGACCGTATCCCACCTTCCACCTGCACACAACCAAAGCAGCACCAAACTGAAGGCATCTTATCATAGAATGGTTTAGTTTGGAAGGGACCTTAAAGATCATCTAGTTCCCACCCCCCTGCCATGGCAGGGACACCTTCCACCAGACCAGGGTGCTCCAAGCCCCGTCCAACCTGGCCTTGAACCCTTCCAGGGAGGGGGCAGCCACAGCTGCTCTGGGCACCCTGTGCCAGTGCCTCACCACCCTCACAGGGAAGAGCTTCTTCCTTATAGCTAATCTGAATCTACCCTTGTTCAGTTTAAAGCCATTTCCCCTCATCGTGTTATGGTATTCCCTGAACAAGAGTCCCTCCCCACCTTTCCCGTAGCCCCCTTTCAGTACTAGAAGGCCATTATAATGTCCCTCCGGAGCCTTCTCTTCTCCAGGCTGAACAACCCAAACTCTCTCAGCATGGCCTCACAGGGGGCTCCAGCCCCCTGACCGTTTTTGTGGCCCCTTCTGGACCCGCTATGAGCAGGTCCATGTCCTTCTGATGTTGGGGGCCCCAGAGCTGGACACTATTCCAAGTGGCGTCTCACCAGAGCAGAGAGGAGGAGGAGAATCCCCTCCCTCAACCTGCTGGCCACACTTCTTGATGCAGCCCAGGTCACGGCTTTCTGGGCTGCGAGTGCACACTGAAGGATCATAGTCACTCTTCCATCCACTAACACCCGCCAAGTCCTTCTCCGCATGGAGTCTTCCCACAGTTTCCCTCACAGCAGGGGGAACTGCAACTTCCCCAGAGCAGCGGCGAGAATTACCTCTGCTCCCAGGGATGCTCAGCTGCCGAGGGACGCAAGACGAGGCCGGGGAAGCTTCCAAAAACCCCCGTCAAGGAAACCAGCCGCTCCCGAGGCCTCCAAGGGGCCGCCCGACGCCTCGCCTTTCCCCGGCGAGGCCGCCCCGGCACGGGGGGTTCTTCCCAACGGGCGGCAGCAGCGTTTCCCGCGGCTCCCGGTGACTCACCCGAGGAGTTTCCCCGCGGCACGGCGCCGCGGCGGGAGAAGAGGGAAGGAAGACGTGGAGGCGCACGAAGCCCCTTCCCGCCCCCGCTCCCCCCGCCCCGGCGCGGGCGGGCGGGCGGTTTGTAGAGGGCGCGCAGGGAGCGGGAACGCCGCCCCCCTCCCCGATCCCCTCAGGAGGGAGAGCGCCGTCGGGAGAGGAGCGGGCGCTCACCTCAGCCCGCCTCAGCTCCGCGGGCGGCAGCCGCCGCGCCGGCCGCCCGCCCCCTCTCCACAGCCCGGCCCCGCAGCGGCCACCGCGCCCAGCGCCCGCCCCTTCCCCCACCTGCCGGGCAGGAGCCGCCTCCCTCACCCGCCCCGCCGCCGTGTCCCCCCGCCCCCGGCCCGGGCTGCACGGCGCCGGGGAAGCGCCTGTTTGTGCCGGGCCTGGGGTGCGGTTCGGAAGCCGGAGCCGCTCCGTCAGGGCGGCGTTGGCGGCCGCCGCCTCGGGTCTGCCGGGTGCAGGGTTAAACCCCGCAGCCGCCGGAGGGCGCGGCTTGGCAGGGTCGGGTTTTGTCTGACACCTGTAAGACACCAGGGGTAGGGTGAAAGCGGGTCGTGGCATGTCTGCAAGCGGTGAAGCTCGGCTGCGGGTGCCCGGCGCCCCTCGGAAGCGGGCGCAGGCCGGGACCCCGGTGTGGCGGGGCACGGGGGGGGCAGCGGTGGGCGGCAGCCCGGCGCCCCGCTGCCCGCCTCCGCGCCCCACTCGTGTCAGCCGGGCTTTCCCCACATCCACGGCAGCTACACGCCGTCCCTCTGAACCTTACCCGTGCCCCCGAGAGCTGTTACGCGGCTGGAAAGGTATTTTTAAGTCCTCCAAAAGGCGACTTTAAAAATTTGACGAGGTTCGCTTCCTTCGCACATGTTTAAGATATGCTTTTATTTCATTATTTTGGATCCTCTTGGGCTTTTGTTTCTCCATTTGCCTTTTATCCTTTTATTACTTCCCAGACTTCTTTTTCTAACTGAAAAAAAAAAAAAAAGAGAAAAAAAAAGTGTTTTCTTTTTTAAATAAGACGAGCGGAAAATCGAAAAATCAAAATGGCATTTAAAAGTATACAGAAGCAAAATATGAAAAAAAAAAATCAAAAAGCTATTTTAAAGGCTCATTAACTTAGAATGCGTTTTTTTGTCTTGTAAAAATGATGTACAAAGTAGTATTACTGCTGTGAGAGGTACAAAGTGGTCAGTTTTAACTCCGTTTACTTTTGTAACATGACTGTAACTGAAAAAGAGCACTTAATAAAGCAATATTCCAAAAACATTGATCTTTGCATAATTCTGTAGATTTAGTTTAATAAAAAGCAGCAGATTCCTTTAGTGATTTGTCAGCTAATACTTTAGTTTGAAAGCCTTTAACCTTTACAACAGTGTTAGACTAGTTTCTGTGGTCAGAAAATAAGGTGGTGCAGTATTTCCTGTGAATGTCATTTATTAGTATTTGTCATTCACAGAAAACTGTAGTATGAATTACCAAAGAGAATCTTCTGAATATAGTAGAGAGAGTGCTTGGTCTGTGAAATGAAGCCCTGTGTTCTAGGTACAACAGAGACTAGTAAAAGCTGGTTAGTAAATAGAGTTTAGTGATAATCTTTGATTTTATAACATAAGTAGAGCACTGTTAACACTTACCGTTGGATTTGAAGGAGTTTCTACGTAAAGAAAAAGATAATTTCAGAGTACAAGGGACTAATTGCGCTGGCAGGCCTAAGGACAATGAAGTTTCTTAAACTTTCCCACGATATGTGTATCAGTTGTAGCCAGCAGCAGCCTTTACCCTGGCCTTAGCTTTCTGTTTAATAGAGACTGCTGGCTGTGCAACGCAAATAAGTCCCATATGGAGACCGCAAGCAGGAAAGCTGTTTGTGTGTAGCACTTCCATTGATATTAGTGCAAGTTCTGTGTCAGAACATCCTGACTTTGTTGGTGGAAATTACAGCATTTCTTTTCCTGCCTGAGTAAACCCAGAACTTTCAGTCTCTAGAGAAGACAGATTAGTGCATTGACAGCATTAAGCAGAAGCAGGTGTGGGGAACCTTCGTTTTGTTGGCTGAATATGCCCTGTGACTTCATCTTATAGGGTACAGTCCATGATTAAAATTAGCATGTGTGTTATTACTGGATAGTGGAGCATTGTAACATGTAGTCTGCCAAATGTGTTGGAAAGGCATATTTGGTCTTTAGCAAGGAAAAATATTCCCCACCCCCAAACTGAAGGCTAAACTGACAAGCCTTTACACAAACTATATTACAGGGTATCAGGCCCTTCTCAGGAGAGATGGAGTTGAGTTTTCCTTTTGTACAAGCTAAGCTTTCTGTGTGACCTAAACTGCACACAGTGTTCCAGCTGAGAGGACTCGAGCACTTGCTTATTTCTCCTGGAAACACTGTGCTCAGTAGCTTTTGGGATCATACTTGTGTAACGTCAGGAAATCACAGATATTTCATGAGCTTGCTCTTTCTTAGTTGTCACAAACTGATGAACTCATTACTTGTATCTAAAGCTTTTACCAGCTCACAACTGTACTATATATTATTGAGCTTGCATTATTCTAGTCATTGAAGCCACCCAGTTATTCTGAATTGCAATAATCTTCTGTAGTGAGGAAACATTCCAACTTCGTTTTATCAGTAAATATAACATTACCTTCATCTGAAAAAGACGCTGTCCCTTGCTGCATTGTGGCTTTGCTTCCTCTTTCCTCATTCTCTTCTTTTGTTGTTTTGGTTTTGTTTGTTGTTTTTTTTGTTTTGTTTTGTTTTGTTTTTTTAATGTGCCTGCAAACCCTTGGTCTACTTGTTATAATTGTCTTTGCGTGTCTAATTTAGCTTGACTTTTGGCAAGTCATTTCCTGGGCTTGAGACATGGTTTACCTTTGATGACTACTCTTTCCTTCCATTTCTTGCAGAATCTCTGCTTATGCCTGATTTCCCATTTGTGATGGCTCAATACACACTGCTCTGTAAAAGTTTATTTCCTTGTTTGTTATGCAGTCATATGGCACAGAAGTTGTAAAGAGCCCAGTGTAAGCTGTCTGCAACACTGAGCATCATCCAAAATGCAAACCTGGGGTGGCAGTAAGAGTAGGGTGGGAGGGTTGCTTGTTTTTTTGTTTTGTTTATTTGTAATTCTATTAATTACCCCGTAAAACAGGTGCAAAAACACGCTCAGTGCAAAGGAACAGAAGCATTTGTGTCAATTTTCACTACCTAAATTCTGCTTGAAAAGCATCAGAGAATTGTATAACTACAAAAATCTAGAAGTGCCAGATTAAAAGCTGGTATTGTGATGCTAACAAGATTTCCAACTATGGGATTCAGGACTGGGTTACCTATTTAAATATGCAACACACCTAATGCTTTAAATATGCTCAGGTATTTCTCAATTTATTGTTCTACCTCAGAATCATGGCCAGTTTTGATTTTCCTTGCTGCTGTTTCTTTAGTTGCTATCCCAACCTGGGAACGCAGGCTGAAAGCACATGAGTCTGGCCCCAGAGACACTATCACAAGGGGCCCTAATGGGGGCCTTTCAGTAACCGTGCAGTACACATAAATAATAACATTTGCTCCAAGAGGTACAAGGATTCTGATTTTTCTCCCCAAAAGGCACACATTCAAATTACAATATATTTAGGTGCAAGGGGGCTACTTATCTTTGTTATCTAGAATTGCAAAAGAAACATGAAAAATATTTAAATTCCAAAGACAAAGAGATCTGCAAAAAATCAAATGTTTTCGTTAGTGATATTCTCTGTTGTGTTTATAGGACTCTTACCAAGCCTTTGGTGAAATAAAGCCTCTGTTTTGGCTTTTTTTGTTGTTGTTTTTTAATGCTGACAAATACTGCAATTAATTTAAGTTACATAACCTATTCCAGGGCCCAACTGTATCCCTGCAGAGACAGAACAATTCATTATGGATGGAGGAAGTGTGCCAGAAAAAGCAAGCCTTCATGAAGGCATTTTGCCTTTTTCTGTCATGCTTTCCAGCCGAAGCTTTAAGGAAATAAACTCACTAATGCTCCTCCAATATATTTGGCTGACAGCTAGTACATCCCTTCATGTCTTCAATATTACAGTCTTGCTGATGCGCAGGACAAGAGGAAAGTGATCAGTCTGCGGTCAGTACTGTTGCTGGCAACACAGATTATTCCCTTTCTTTTTTGCCGTACTGCATTTGCAGTCAAATTGTATCATTCCTCTATACAGAAAACAACAATCTCTTCTGCCTGGTTTTCAGTATGTTTGTGTTGAAGCAGCTGTAATTTTGGTTTGGCACCTACATTACTGAGTTCTGTCATGGGAGACTCAGAGAGGTCCATTTGACTAACATGGTTTGCAGCTGCATGAAATATCTAGGAAGAACATGAAAAGTATTTGAAAAACAGGGATTCATAAAAATTCCAAGAAAGAAATCTGTCCCCTACTTGGTCTTCAGAGGAAATAACCACACTCTGGATAGCTGGGATTTTCAGCCTGCATGATTATACTTATTAAGTGAGGAGAAGGCCATTATTGAGACTAGAAGAATGCATTTTCCTTAACTTGCCTGCTCTTATTAGCAGAAAGTATGAATTTTTCCCACATGACCTCATCTGCTAACCTGTGTTCTGATAAGAGAGGTAAGAGACAACGGTTACCACCATATGTTCCAAAGGAATATTTCCTTACAATCCAAAATGCAGTAAGTGGTTTCACACTAAGCACATAACTAAGAATGACAGTCAACACCAAATTCATAGCGACAGTGAAACTTGTCTCCAGATAAAGTGCTCTTGTTTTCACTTTTGAAATGAAATCTGACTGTAGCTGCAGGGGCAGACAATCCCAGATAACATGTTGCTAAACCTCCGACATACAATTCGTGATTTGAGTGCACCATGCTGTGATCTCCTCCCACTCTTTCCAGTCTCTTACAGCAAACTGCACGGTGATGGAAATCATCAGAACAATTCCAGTCTGCTGCTGGTGAGTAAATTTATTTTCATCTTGTCAAAGTGATATAACTTACAGGGTTGCGAAGTTTCCAGCAGGAAATTACTGCTCACATAACTACAGCCTTTTTATGATGGCTCACACCAAAAAGACTGAAGGGCAAGACATAAAACCCAGGACAGGAATGCAACTTTTCGGAGGTGTTCAGCTCCAGACATGCACATGAAGGCATGAACACAAAAAAAATTGCTGGCTAAGG